AAGAACATGTTCAATGCATTTGTATTTATTTTAAACCATTCTGATGATTCATCAGGATAACAGGATATTATTAAATTATGTTACAGTACTCTTTGGCTATAATAATATTATCCCATTTTTTTATGATAAGGAATGCCTGAGGTTTTGCTCATCCCATGAGATCTACAGCCAGTGTGGGTGCATGGAACTGGGTTACCTCAAGCAATTCACCATCCATGGAATGGCTATGAACAATGTCCCCTACTGCATGATGGCTGTGAAAAGTATGTCCTGCTTACCTTATTAGTGTTCAGATGTCGCTCTAATGTAGTGCCAAATGATTTTTCTTCTTATACCTCCACAGACTCCACTGATGCCATTTGTGTTGGTGCTGTGAAGCAAAAGCGCCTAAATGACACTTCACATGATTTCCAGTGCTCTTGCAAACCTGCTTGCTCGTATGTTAATGATTTGATATTGTTATTCTTATTGCTTGGATTGTATCCTGGTATCTTTTTTTTATATATACAGGGAGAGACAATATGAAGTGACCACATCAAGTGCTTTGTATCCATCCCTGGCTTATTCTGCAAGTGGCTTTTTCAGGATTGAATTTTAAAAATCTTTTGACACTTGATATCAGACTTTCAGATTTGAAACTTTCAAGATAGTATTTATATGGAAGAAGGAATGATAAGGTGTCATAAACCAATGATTTTTTTCCAAAAGCAAGAAAATGTATAGTATTAATATGTGACATGTTTTTTAAAATATACTGTGAATTTATTTTGATGGGATGCAATTGATCAAATTGGATGAAATTTGTATACAGAAATAATATGTAGGGTGTCTGCATACATTCATTCTTGGAGTCCACTATTATAAAGGGAAATTTGAAATTTCTCAGAGCTTTCTTATTGAAATTTATCAAATTTTTGATAATTCATCCAAAGTTTAATTTAGATTCTTTTATGTACAGTTTATCCACCTCCTTATTTCTGCTTTAAGGAAAAGGATTAAAAAAGATCTTCAAAGGATTATATGTCTTGGAAGTTTCAGATTCTGTTGAGGATTTTTTTGATTTACATCTTGACTCAAGATATACTGTATATATATAATGTACTCATGGTTTTGTTTAAAGGAATATACTGCTGCAAAGTTTTCTGTGCATGAGATCATCATTGGACAAAACTGGGAAACTGTAAGGAGGACTTACCTCAAGCTCAACATTTATTTTGCTGCCTTTGACTCAGTCATGGCCAGAGAAGAAGCCCAATACTCAGTAAGAACCATTTTTATTGATTCAAAAAATGATGATATTACATATAGGTCTCAACAATTGGAAGGTACATATTTATGCATATTGATTTTCAGGTGTTCTCCTTGGCTGGTAACTTTGGTGGAGCTGCAAGCCTGATGCTGGGTTTGTCTGGAGTGACCATCCTGGAAGTGTTCACCCTCTTATGGGATATTGGGTTTCACATGGTGACCAATAGAGGCAACAAGTCCAACACAAGCACCACCAGTTTTGACTACAACACCAGGATGCCTGCTGGAGCAGGACATGCATGGGGTGGACCACAGATGGTTCACCCTGCTTTGAAACAACCTGCCATGGCTACTTGACCTCCACTTTAAAAAAGGAAACTGAAAATGCTCTGGGATTTGAACTTTGGCTTGCACTGGATATTCTTGGTGGAAATAAAACCACTTTCAAGCACACTGCAGAAGAAAAGCAGTATTTATAGCTCATTTCTTTGTTTGACAAAAGTAACTGAGCCTGACTGAATCTCATTGGCTGGAAGTCTGGAAGTCATACTTTCAAAAAACACCTTCTTCCAAGTATTTTTCAAAACTTGTCAAGATTCTGAACACTGCTGCAAAGGCTGGTGGTATGTTCAAAGTCAGTACATTTTATTGATTAGTATTTCCTGAAAAATATTTTCTGTCCCTTGGAGGATACAAAAACATGGCTGAAGTCTGGCAAGAGGAAGAAGGTCTGCCAAGTCTGGAGAACATAGTCTTCAAGTTGTATGAAGAAATACTACCTTTGTACAAGGAATTGCATGCATATGTGAGATTCAGGCTGGGAAAACACTTCCATTTGTCAAATGGATTAATACCAATTCACCTCCTTGGTTAGCATTGCTTTTTTTATGCTCTGGAACACATTTCCACTCCTGCTGATTAAATTTTCTATATACAGGTGATCCTTGGGGAAAAAATTGGGAGAAGGTGAATCATCTGGTGAGGCCTTATCCAGGTGCAAAAGTATTGAACCTCACCAAGCTGCTGTTGGCACAAAAAGAATTTCATCCCATGGATTTGTACCCTTTGGCTGAATCATTCTATTCATCTATTGGCATGGGCTCAATGTCTGCAAAGTTCTGGAATAATTCTGTCTTGGAGAATAAGAGGAACCTGGAGGAATTGTGCCTGACTGACTGCCACCCAACATCCACAGACATGTTCTCTGTTGCTGGTGATGACTTCAGGTGTTGGGATGCTTTATGTTATTTGATTATGTTTTCAAGATCACAGAGAGGGTTAAATTTTTCATTTATTGAAGGATTAAAATGTGTGCCAAAGTGGATGAAGAGAGCTACCAGAGAGTTCATCATGAACTGGGACATGTTGAGTATTTCATGGCCTATGCAAAGATGCCAGTTTTGTTCAGAGCTGGTGCCAGTCCCAGTTTCCATGAAGCCCTTGGAGATTCCATGTTGCTTTCAGTGCTGAGACCTGAATACCTGGTGAAGCTGAATCTTATAACCTCTGCAGATCTCCCAGAATACCAAGGTTTCAAATTTTAATACAAAAGTTGGTCATGTTTTTCAAAAGTTGAACCATTTTTTTTCTACAGCACCTGAAGCTGAAATGAACTTCCTGATGGACCAAGCTCTGAAAAAGATTCCCTTGATAACTTTTGCCCTTGCCCTTGAGGACTGGAGGTGGAGGATCTTTAGAGGTGACATCTCTGATGAGCTGGACATCAACAAGTCATGGTGGGAAAATGTGCAAAGGTTTCAAGGAATTTCAGCTCCAACTGAATATTCTCACAAGGGCTTTCACCTTGGGCTCCAGTTTCATGTTGCCAACAATTTGCCATACATCAGGTTTGATAATCTTCATTCGTGCATTTATTGAGGATCTAGGATAAATTGTGACAGAAAATTTGAGACAGGGACAATTTGAGACAGGGACAATTTGAGACAGGGACAATTTGAGACAGGGACAATTGGAGACAGGGACAATTTGAGACAGGGACAATTTGAGACAGGGACAATTTGAGACAGGGACAATTTGAGACAG